AAACCCTAAACCGTGCGCTGTTGCACGTTATTCATCACTTGCACCATCGAAAGCCTCTAAGTCTGGGAAGGTATCTGAGTGGAAGCGTCGCAGCTTCAGACATCCAACATAAGTGTCAAGAAAACTATCCCCTGAGTCCTTGCATGGCTATATGAATATTACAACTCCAAACAACTACTCTAAGTCTTCGTGCTATTCGTATCATTATTCTCCAGTTTGTTGCTATTGGATTATTATTACGTCCCCAAACCCTAAACCCTAAACCCTAAACCACCCGAATTGTGGCTCCCTTTGCCAGGTGGCGGCTTTGATCTGCTGGCTGTGCCTGTGGCCCGGCTGGATGTGCCAGCTGTTGCCAGGGACACCTGTGTGGCAAGCTTCGGGTACCCTAGACCCTAAACCACAAACTATATAAATCCCTAAGTCCCTAAACCCCTAAACCCTATAAACCATAAATCCAAAAGTCCCTAAATCCAAAAGTCCCTAAATCCCTAAACCCCTATAAACCCTAAAAACTAAACCCTAAATCCCTACGGCCCTAAGCCCCTAAATTCCTAAACCCTAGTCCTAGAGAGGCCCCAAAAGTCTCTGCATGCCCCTGTATCGAAGCACCGGAAATCCGAAAATGGCCCTCAACAGATAGGTTTGGGGTTTGGGGTTCTGGGTTGTTCAGAATCCTCGACCAAATCCTCCAATTTTTCGGAGGGCTCTCAACGCCGAATCCTCTGCATGCAACCCTGGGTTTAGAGTTGAGGGGTTTTGGGGTACAGCCCCCAAGCTCTCAACCCGGAGTCTATCCGGCGCACCCCTATGCCCAAGGAGATCTCGCCCAAGGTGTCGCCAAGGGTGGCCGGTTTGTAACTGGATGCATCTTCCTGCACTAAGCAGAAAAGGGGACTTCAGGTTTTCCGTCGCAGGGGCAGGAACAGGTCGCCGCGGGTTCCGGACTGGGGATGCGGAAACTTGCCTGAGGAATTAGAGCAGGGATAGGGCCTGTGAAGGGGATCCTGAATTCCGGCCTATTTTTGGGCTTCGGGACACTGCCATGCTGGCTGTTCGATATTAGGACGCGAAGGCTGTCGGGGCGGTTCTAAGGTGTAGAGACACCGAAACACCGAAGCCCTAAACTCCAAATATAAAACCTTCAACACCCCAAGCATAGAACATTGAACCCTAAACTCTAAACCTTAAGCCGACAAACCCTAAACCTTGAACCTTGAACCCTAAAGTCTGAACCTTAAACCCTAAACCCAAAACTTCAACCTTGAACCCTAAACTCTAAACCTTAAACCGATAAACCCTGAACCTTGAACCTTGAACCCTAATCGAAACACCCAAATGGCCAACACTGGTGTCTGCACCCCAGCACCCCGAGGCCTCAGACTGCACCCCAAACCTCTGCAGCCTGATATAGGGTTTAGGGTTTAGGGTCTAGGGCTTAGTGTGTAGGGTTTACGGCTTAGTGTTTAGGGTTTAGGGCTTAGTGTTTAGGGTTTAAGGCTTTAGGGTTTAAGGCTCAGGGCTTAGGATTTAAGGCTTAGGGTTTAGGATTTAAGGCTTAGGGTTAAGTGTTTCAGGCTTTGGGTTTAGGGTTGAAGGTCGGTTAAAGGTTTAGAGTGCAGGGTTTAGGGTTTAAGGTTTAGGATTTAGGGTTTAGGGACCATAATAGGACCTTGGGACATGTTCTGGTATAGTAATATGTAAGGACTTTAGGAGCAGAAAAGTACCAACCCCCCAGACTTCCCGAAACCCTAAGCACCAAACCCTAAACTTTAGAACCCGAGACCTTACTAACATCAGGGCCTTAATACTTAGAATAGGGTTTTGGGGCACATGATACTATACTTCTAATCAGGAACCCCCCAAAAATAGTACAGGTAATATTTAGGCCCCTACACTACACTGCTTCGGTCCTCGTCTATCGGCGCGAGCCGCGAGTCTGAGTCTGCTTCAACCAGCGCCGGCTGTTGTCTAATGAGGTCCTGGCACTGCTATGGGTATAACGGTGAAATCTAGGAGCCTGAACTATTAGGATATGTTTTGGGGGGAATCGTAAAAAGAATGGTAACGACGGACCATTCACGGTTGAGGCCTAGGGTATGGTTTATGGTTCGCTTCTTAATCAGGCTCACTCCGCAGGGGGAGGTCACAACAGAGAAGCCTTCATAATTCCGATATATTCTTGGTGCATAATACGGTATGTTTGATGCTTCAAGGAGCCACAAGCAAAAGGTTTGATGACACTATTCACACAGACTGGCGCGTCGATTGGAACATGGACTTCAGATTGCACGCGTCACTCAGAGTTATAGCTGGAGGACAAACCTATAAAGAAAATTGCGTTCCTATGAAACACATCTAGAAACGATTGAATGCGCCTAAAACAGGCAAGAAAACCTTTGTAAACGATCCAAAAACCTGGGAGATAAACTCCCATACAAGCAGTCTCTGCCTGAGCGACCACCTGGCCCTCCGACGGCACCTGGGCACCCTCCTGGCAGCAGCGATTCTTCAGGGCATTCAGGGTTACGTCGGTTTAGGGCTTGTTTGGGGTCTTGGAGGTTTTGCGTTTGGGGTGTTGGGCGTAGCTTGTTTGTGGCTCAGGGTTTCTCGAGTTTAAAGAGCCCCATTCAAAGGGCTTCGCAACCGCGAAACCAAACCTAAACAAAACCAAAACCCGTCAAAGCTCACAGCAAACCCTCAATCTTCTCCAACAGCCCCTAAACCCGGAACCCCAAAAGCAACCCTAAACAAAACCAAAAGCCTTCAAAGCTCACATCAAAACCTAAACCCGGGTAGACCTCAAGGGCTTCCCCTCCAGACTCGGGCTGGCAGCAGGTGGGTTTGGCCCCCATGGCTCGGCACTTTGCGTCCTTAACAAGTTGTGCCTTGACGCGCAAAGTGCTGCGGAGTTGGGGAAAGGGTGTAAATGGGGCTTGGGGTTGAGAGTTTTGGGCTTTCGGGTTTAGGGGTTTAGGGCTTAGGGTTTAGGAGGGGGGTTGGGGTTTAGCCCTGAGGGCCGATCCCAAAAACGAAGGGCTAGGCGATCCCAAACCCTCAAACCCTAAGGTCCCAGAGCAAATGGACCTTGGCATATTCTGTATTGTACTCTAGCTATATATATATATATATATTGAGAAGCTTAAGGAACATTATTGCTACTTTTTCCGGCTCTCGTAGTATGCATCCCCGAATCTGGGGATAGATCCTTAACAGAGCCCCTGTAGTCCTTAATGGCGGATGTTTGGAGTATAATGGAGGGTACTAACCTAAGCCCCAAACTCTAAAGAGATATCTACTGAAATCGGAACGTGCTGCTGCCAGACAACAACAAACACGGCGGGGTTTAGCCTTGAGTAAGCCTGATAGAAGCACGCACTGCTTAGGGCTTAGGATTGCCAACAGAATCATGGCGGTTTAGGGCATAGGGGTTTAGTGCTTGGGGCTTCTTAAGGATCAGGATTGCGCTGTTTAGGCTTCGGAGTTTAGGGCATCTGTTGCATAGGTCTTGTCCTGCACGCAGCCAGGTCCAGACCCAACGCGTCTGGGAGCCCCACATTCACTTGCATGATCCTCTCCTTAGCTTACCAACTTCTTTTCAGTTCAGGCTCGCGGGACTTGGAGCTTCAAATTAATGGCGATGTTGTGTGCTGAGCTTTGGATATCTGGCTTGTGTAAGTCTAGATTGTCCAGGCATTCGGGGGTTCAGCCCAAGAAGGTTTGCGGCTCGGGCCGGTTGTTAAGTTGAGATCCCCGGACAGGGCAGGCAGATGCACTTTAAGAGACAACAGAGGAGTTGGAACTGGTGCGGGTTGCAAAGACAAAGCTGCAACGGCAAAAAGTCCGTACCACCATACAGTGGGCTGACGGATCTGGGACACTTCGAAAGTTTGCAGGAGTTCGAGCCCTAAGCCCTAAACCTATCCGGGGCTCCGGAACTGAATCTCACTGGAAAGAAGCTATACAAATTAGCAAGCTGGAGAAACGCTAGAACATGGTAGACGATAGAGAATGCTGGGTCCCGGGTTTGGGCCGGGGGCGTGTCGGCACCCCATTCAATCAGTCTGTGGATAGGATGTCAGTCTGTGGATAGGATGTCGAGGCCAAAAGCAGCCTTGAGCAAGGTGGGTTCTTGAACCGGGAAACGTCCAGCTGGAAGGAGACATCAAGGCAAAACTAGCATTTTCTAGTGCCCGTGCTCGTGTTGCAGCTTTGAAGCAGACGGACTGCACCGGGATAGTAAAAGGTTCCTACAAGATTCAGGATGGACCGGGGAGAACGCATCAAACCCGAAGCAAAATGAAATCAGAAGCCCTAAATTCCAAAACTTCAACCTGGAACCCGAAACCCTAAACCCCCCCAAACCGTAGATCTCAAGCCCATGCCATAGCTCCGATGTCTTAAACCTCAGAGCCCTTTCAAAAGCAGCAAAGCTTCCCACTCGTCGTTGGGAACCTGTGCCAGAGTCAGGCAGAGTTCAGGGTTTAGGGTTTAGGGCTTGGGGTTTAGGGTTTAGGGTTTAGGAGTGTCCAAACTTAAACAGATGCCATCAAGTCGAACGATGCAGGGTTGAGTTGAATGTTCAACGCACGCTGCTTGCAAAACAACCAGGCACCTGTAAACCGGTGCAATGTGGGTAGTGTAGGGTTTACAAAAGAGGTTCTGAGGTGAATCAATCGCAACTCTTCATTCGGTACGGAGGTCGGAATGATTAGCATCAGCGATGCCTGAAGGAGTCCTCATGGTTATGGGCCCCTGCACCATAAAACCCCGTTCAGTAGACCTTGCAGAACTCCCTAAACGAACCTTATTCCAAGCCTTAGGGCCCCTATCCTATGCGCTTGGTCTCAGACCTCGTAAGGTATTCTGGTTTGGAGTTTGGGGTTCAGGGTTTAGACAGCTCGACTCTACCGGGAGAACATGAAGAAAACACACATGCGACTTTGGTAGGCATTAAGCATTATTAATACAAGACATTGTGGCCCGCTCCCGATCAATGCCTCGTAGCCGCCGTTCGACGGGATACCTCTGAGAAACCCAATCCCCTAACACGTTGAGGATTTAGGATTTAGGGTCAACATGTTTAAAGGTTTAGGGATTATTCGGGTTTTGGGAACCCTGAACCCAAACAGACCGTAGTAATTCTATATCGAAACAAGAGGGCCAGTTTCTGTCATAAATACAACCCATAATCCTTGTCTATGTGTTGATTGTCGCTTCCCCAAAACCCCGATCTCGTGCTTAAAGTTTAGACCTCGACATTGTTGCATCTGCTCGGTTGAGGGGTTGAGGAGTCCTTGGTGAGGTCTGGGGAACATGATTGCGTCTGATGTCCATCACAGCGCCGACACCAAAGCGTAAATCCCCGTGTTGCTGACACCCGTAGCGTAAGCGAAGAGCTTGAGTCAGCTTTCATCCGTACCAGGCGCCCACCTACCTACAGTACCACAGTACCTACCTACCTCCCTACCTCCCTACCTCCCTACCTCCCTACCTCCCTACCTCCCTAGCTGCCTAGCTGCCTAGCTGCCTAGCTGCCTAGCTGCCTAACTGCCTAGCTGCCTAGCTGCCTAGCTGCCTAGCTGCCTAGCTGCCTAGCTGCCTAGCTGCCTAGCTGCCCAGCTGCCTAGCTGCCTACCTGCCTACCTGCCTACCTACCTACCTACCTACCTACCTACCTACCTACATACATGCGTACATATGTACATAGGTATGCATGTAGGTAAGTGTATAACAATATGTATGTATGTATGCATGTATGTAT